CTTATCTCTTATCTCTTCATGTTTTTAATTATTGAATATTCAAAAATATTTTTAAAATTATTAAATATTATCTAATATTAATTTTTAAAATTATTAAATATTTAAAAATTAGCAAATATTTGTTTTTATAAAATTTAATTTAAAAATCTCAACATATAAATATATTTTTAAAATCAATTTTATCATGATAGAATCAAATTATCATATCCAACCTAACAATTTAAAATTTGATAAATTTGAATTGACTTATCCAAACAAAATATTTTAAGAATGATAGAAATTGAAATCAAAGTAATTCAAATACCAAGAATTTAAAATTCCTTGAATTTGTAAAATTCTCCATCCAAACACACCATCAAGTTAATTCATGCATCGCTCTTATTTAATTTTTTTTTAGAAAAAATATATATATTATCATAATTTTTAATATAAATATTTGAGGCCATTATATCAAAGATTTTATTGGAAAAATAATTGATTAGATGTAATATCTTTTTAACATTTAAATTTAAGATACAAGTTGTGACAACTTGATATCTTTAATTTTTTCTCCAAAATAATAAAAAATATCTAACCAAAATATTTTTAAATATGTACCACAATAATAAAAATATTAACAATAATAATTAAAAAAAAAATAATTAAATATCTGGCATTGCTGTACACCTCTATCAGTTTTTATATTTTGGAATATATGAGTTGTGACAATTTAAAATTCCTTACCTTTTTAAAAGAAAAATAATAAACAAATTAATAAAAAAATTCTAACACACAAATATTTTCTACCAAAGAATTACATGACTCTGATTTTTCATTACACATGAAGATACGTAGGAGCAGGAAATCACTCCTGTCGAGCCAAAAAAATAAAAATAACAATATTATCTTATTTTTTAATAATAATAATATAAATAATTTTAGTACTCATTAAAATAAAATAAAAACATTTGTTAAATAATATATTTGATTATTATTGTTAATTCATATTAATGTAGGGTGAGATAAATATTTTAAAAGTTATAATAAATTTTCTTAATTAATTAAAGGTAATCATCATAAGACAAACGTTATAAGGTGCTAATATCTCGTAATCGACTTCCGAATTCAAAAATCTAATTTTCGTAAATTATTTTTTTTATAAGCTTTTTCAATTTTTTTTTATAAAAAGAAAATAAACATTGGTGGCGACTTCATTATTTTAAACTTTATTTTTATTGTCCCGTTATTATCTCGATTATGACAATTAAATTTATGAATAACATGATACCCTAATAAAAAAAGGACAATGTAAGCCTTGGGCTTCTAGTTGAGAACACAACAGTTGCTAGATTGCTTATGTAAAGCAGTGCGTAAAATTGTTATACTAATCTCTAACTTTATTTAAGTATTTCTCTTCTCTTTCTTTTTGTCTTTGAATTTTCTTTTTGCCATTGAGTTGTTCTCCCCTTAGAGAGTGTATTTCTTTTTCTTAAATAGCAAAAAATAATAATAAATAAAGCAAATGGTAACACAGTTATCCCTTCTTGACTAAGTCTAGTTCACAATCTCCTATTTTTTTGCACCACTAATCAACCGATATATTCTATTCACAAGTAACTGTTATAATCTTATCTTCTATAGCTTATTTGTCATCCTTAATTTTATATTTTCTTTCTTTGATAAAATAATTATTTACATTAATAAGGACGGATTAGAGAATTGTTTACGGTGGTTCTGTTTTGGGTCTCACGTCATTTTCATGAACCTATGTCACGTTTTTTTTTTTATAAATAAAATTTAACCAATAAAAAAAACTAATAGGAAATCCTACTTTGCACGCTAAAAATTAAAGCACACACTATACTGAATGAAGGTTATTATATCTCTTGCGTGGGATGTTTCTTCTAAACTTTTCATATTGATGTTATGTGTTAACGAGCAACATGTATAATAGCAGCGTGCATAACTTGCAAGATTATTATTACCATGTTTCATATTCAAGTGAGAAAAGAGGAACCAATACATATTGTTATTTTTTAGTAATGAATTTAAAGACAAGAAAATAATATTATTTTGATATATAGTGTTCAAATAATAAGCATCTTTTTCCCAAAAAAAAAAATGAGACATGTATCCAAAAGAATAGAAGTCTGTTTAGATATAAATTGAAAGTATTTTTAATTTTTTTTACTAAAAATAAAAAATAATTTTTCATAAAAAAAACTCTTAAAGATATTTTTTTAGACTTACATTGAAATAAGTTTCAAGTGCAAAATTTAAGCAGCTAGCAAGTATCAGCCGATTTCAATATTTACTTCTTTTTTATTTATTTATTGTGTTTCTTTTAAATACATAGTACTTACATGTTTATTTTCGGTCTCTGATAAATATATTTTTTATGTGCAGATTATTACTAAATCATGTCTATGATTTAGATGATATTGTTTTCTAATTAATGTCAAAAAAAATTTACTTAAGCGTCATCTTTTACATGAATTTAATAATTTTAAAACAATACATCTGCCTCATGACAAGCAAAAGTATGTTTTTCTAATAATTTTATTTCACTCAGAAAACATTTTTTTTTCTAATACGTCATTTCTTTATTTATTGTTGTATACTTTAACGAAATGCTACTACATGACTTTTAATTACAAATATTTAAACTCCATATAATTTCTACTGTTATTGATAGTAGAGCATTGCACGGGTGCATATAGTGTTACTAATCTGAATATATAAATCCCAAAGACATCACATGCGAGTCACATAAATATATGTTATCACGTAGTGATATCAAGTAATCTTTCCAAACTATAAGATTTTGTTAATTATTGAATAAAAAAGTAGTTACATCATTTAATTTTACTATCCTTGTTTAAAACATTTTTTCTTAATATAGCGTTAATTAATTAAAACTTAGTATCAAAAATTAAAAAATAATTGAAAATAAAATCCTAATTAAACGAAATACATTTTAGAAAGAATTTCACTAAATAAGACATAATTGATTAAAACTTGTATTTTAAACATTATTTTTTTTTCTTATACTTCAGTTAAACTCCTTTAAGATAATAAATAAAAAGCAACATTATTTCATTTTCAACAACTTGTTTACATACCATTGACAAATCAAAACAACATGCACTAGAAAAATGTAACACCCAGTTTTTTTATTATTGATGACATTTTCGTAATTCTAATAAAGGAATAAGGGTATTTCTGGGTGTCGGAACGGGCCGTTCCGATTTTGGAACGGGCCGTTCCAGTTGAGAAATTTGCCCACGTTTGAAGGCTCCAGAACGGGCCGTTCCGAAATCAGTACGGGCCGTTCCGGAGACCCCTGGACGCCTATAAATAGAGACTGAGGGGGGGTGAAATATTACACCTGAGTGAAAAGTGAAAATTCTAGAGAGAGAGAGAGAGAGAGAGAGAGAGAGAGAGAAAGAAAGAAAGAGAGAGAGAGAAAGAGAAAGAGAAAGAAAGAGAGAGAAAGGAAGAGGGAATCCAGAGGAGGAGGCCCTGCCTAAGTTTCAACTCCGCTTATCCAGGTAAGGGGGGAGTGAGAACCTCGCTCAGGGGTGTGGGGATAATTGTTGGATAGTTGTTTGTCGGATTGGCCCCCAATCCTTTGCCGTTGTCCTGTCTTATTTTCTATTTGCTTTACTTTATTTCTTGTTGGAAATAATAAATGATTATGTAATCCCAATCCCTTGCCGTTGTTCTGTTTGATTTTCTATTTACTCTACTTTGTTCTTTGTTGAAGGTGCCGTTATTCTGTCCGATTTTCTATTTATTCTACTTTGTTCTTTGTTGAAAGTAATAAATGAATATGAAATTAATGTTAATAATAAATGGGTTTTAATATGAAAAAGAATGCTCTCTGGATCTCTGTGAATTCCTATGCGGACCTTATAAGGAGTATTTATGACATGACCTTGTGAAATATGGACAAATGACATAAGACATATGAATGGACTATTGAGACATGATATGATTATGAGACTATGACAAATAATGACATGATATACTTGATGAAATCTTGTAATAAGTTAAATGTTGAGTTCATGAAATAATGAATGTATGACATGCATCATATGCATATATTACTCCAGGTGTGCCGCTGAGGCCGCATACCAACGATGCTAACAAGGTGTACCTTAGGGTCACCGACAGTTGATGCTATGAAGGTGTACCTTAGGGTTACCGACAGTTGATGATATGTCCAGGTGTACCTTTGGGTCACCAGTGATGAAATGTGAAGTTTCCTTATGGCGCCACATGCATGCATTTATGAGTCGAGTTCATGACATCATAGCAGGATAAATGAGTATATATGTGATATTGATTATTTATGTGTATTGTTTACATGTGGCTTATGTATGTTATGTGTGTGTGTGTGCTATCTAGCAGTTATTTCTGCACCTGAAACTGAGTGAGATGTTTCTCACTCCCTTGTTGCTTTTTTGTATGTGTTTAAATTATGTTACAGGCAATCAGCATCATGAGGATGTGGGTGATGAGGCTTAAGGCTTCAGTGGGGCATGCTCTGATAGGATGTGATATCGGGCATAACTAGGCTTGTTTTTATGATGTTATTGTTTTAAAAGCTTTAATTTTATCTTCTTATGTAATTTTGAACGTTCTTGAGAAAAGACCAAAATGTACATCTTTGTTATACTATTTTATTGCATGATTTTAAAGTTATAAATTAATTCCTAACTAGGAGGCACTGCCACCTTTGTTGGAATTAATCTATATTTTCCTTTATATGATTTCTTGAGTTTTAATACTTATATGTTGATTTTTTTTTATGATTGATGAGTTACGAATGTGAATCTTCTACCTTATGATATTTGAAACAATTGTTTTATACATGAAAGATGTTATTAAACTATGAAAGATTTTATTTACTCAGAAAGAAAAAGAAATTATTGTTTACATTTATTGTGTATTAACGTTGGGGTAGAGGGTGTCACATTTAGTGGTATCAGAGCAGGTCGATCAAATCGGCAGAAACAAATATGATAACTGCATGAGTGGTATACCTTATTGAACTGAACAAGATAAGGATAACAAGGCTATTGTTGTTGCCTTCGTCTTCTCTGCTGCTCTTAGTTTCTTTCAAGTCCGAACTTGCGTTTCACACGTGCCAAATTAACAGCAATCAAAACCAGAAGCTTATCTCTCATGTCAAACGCAAAGTTGAAATATGCATGTCTCCACGACCTCTTCAACATCAAGCTGCCACAGACCAACCAGAAGCCTGTGATGTACCCAAAGGCTATGCTTCCATATAACCACAATCGTTCAATTTTCTCATCAGCTCCATCTTCATGTTTTCCTCCTTTCTCTTCATTTCCAGGCAACGCTGATGAACAATTAGTTGGCAACGGTTTCCCACAAAGTTTAGGATTTCCTTCATAAATTGATGGATCATTAAATGTGTCGAACTGGTTGCCAAATGGAATTTGTCCAGACAGGTTGTTGTATGACAAGTTCAAATTGCTCAAGAATGTCATGGAAGCCATGCTTGCAGGGATTGGACCCGAAAGATGGTTGCGTGAAAGATCTAGACTTTCTAAATCTTTTAGCGATCCAATGGTGCTCGGTATGTTTCCCGTTAGCCTGTTCCAAGATAAGTTTAGGATACCCAAGTGAATTAGCTCTGTTAACTTCTCTGGTATCTTTCCACAAAGATCATTATTAGAAAGATCAATTGTTGAATGCACAAACATTCCATTCTCGTATTCAGTTATTCTTCCTTTAACCATCAACTCTACATGTGTCGAGTACAATAACGAGCTATTCACCGTTGCACGAGTTAAATAAGTTTGTGGCAATTTGAAACCTTGGACATCACCCAAACATGTTGGTATAGATCCTGATAGGTTGTTTTCTGCCAAATCAAAAAAATGGAGAAAATGAAGACCACATACCTCTTCAGGAATGCTTCCTGTCAGTGTGTTACCTCTTAACAGTAAATCTTCAAGAAAAGGAAGGTTTTTGGAGATCTCTTTTGGCATAGACCCATAAAACCTATTGTTTCCCAACAAAAGAGTTTGAAGTGAAGTGCAATTTTGAAATGTTGAAGACAAATTTGCTGAGAGATTATTGTTGCTCAACTTTAGGATAACAAGAGACGACGGAGAACATATTGAAGCTGGAATTTCACCAGATAAACTGTTGTTGGATAGATCAATGATTCGTAATTCTCCCATACCCATCCAAAACATGGGGATGGAACCATTCAAATAATTATTAGATAACGCAATATATGACAAATATTGAATCTTATTTATTGCTAGTGGAATGCTCCCATAAAGGTGGTTATTTGAGATATCCAAGAATGTCAAATGCGACATTTCTTTGCTAATATTGGTTGGCAATGTTCCGGATAACAAGTTGTTGCTTAGATCGAGAGCATCCACACCATACCAAAGAGGGACTGAGCCTTTCAACTGATTGAAAGCAAGGTTAATACGAGGTGAATTTGAGAAGTTAAATATTTTGGGAAGGTAGCCATTTAATTTGTTTTGAGAAAGATCTAGCGCCCAAATTTGAGAGGACAGGTTGTAAAACCAATGGGGTATCTCTCCAGAAATTCCAACATTTTCTAGGAATACACCTTTCAAGAACGTCAGGTTTCTGAGCCAGCTAGGAAATGTAGGGCCAACTTGACAATCACGAATTTCCACATGATTCAAATACTTAAAAGGAGGAATCCATTCTTGAGTCACTTTAAAGACAAATGAGTTTGGTTTGGATGATATATAGAAACTAGCTAGGTTTGTGAGATTATGGAAATGATTGTTTGTCATTGTGCCTTCCCAGTTGTTCTGGTATAGATTAAGATAACTCAATTGGGTTAGTTGACCAATACTTTCTGGAATTTCCTCATTCATCGTGTTTCCTTGCATGTCCAGAAGCGCTAGATTTGATAAGTTTCCTATTGATACTGGCATAGGACCGGAGAATGAGTTGAATGACAGAACAAGTTCAAATAGACTGTTGAATTTCCCTATAGAATGAGACAGTTTCCCAATTACGTGATTTGAACAGGATGACAAGGTATCCAACATTTGAGTAATATGACCAGTGAGATAATTAAAGGATAGGTCCATAATCCGAAGCTTGCAGAGATTCCCTCCCTGAAGCATAGGAAGCGGACCTCTAAGAGATGAAGAAGAAAGAACAAGTTCTGTGAGACTACTCATATTGAACAACGATGAAGGTATTGAGGAATTAAAAGGATTACCAGATAAATGAAGCACTGAAAGTGATGTAATATTTTCCAATTGAAGAGATGGCGGGAGAGTACGAAGATTGCAAGAGATTAGACGTAACTCTAACAAAGAAGACATCATATTCACAGCTCGAAACAACTCATGGGATGTGCTAGTGATGTTAACAGACTCCATGTATAGATACTGAAGTGAAGACAGAGCAGAGAGCCAACTTACATCTCTGACCCAGAGTGTATCAAATGAAGAAGAGATAGCAAGATGCTGCAAATTTGACAAATTGCCAAGATGAGTAGGGACCATTCCAGAAAAATTTGCATCGAGTAAGTAAAGGTAACGCAGCTTATTGAGAGAACCAATAAATTTCGGAATGGGGATTCCTTCGAAGTTATTGAAACTTAGATCCAGGTATCTCAGATGTTTCAAGCCTGTTATTGAAGGATTTATCTCACCACCTATGGAAGATGGTGGCAATATATTTGTGGTGAAGGGACATAAGTCTAGTCCGAGATCAAGCTTTAGAATGTAACCAGTTTGGTTGTGACATTCTATACCATTCCAATTACAGCAATCATTCCCAACCCACGAAGAGAGGCAATTGTGGGGATCCTTGAGATCTTTTTTAATTTTAAGGAGGGCTTCTCTCTCTTCCTTAATGCAAAGAGTGCTTGCAGCTACATAGGGAGTTGATACAAGAAGAGCCAGGAGAGAAATAATCAAATATCTTTTTGTGTTAAGCATCTTTTCCTTGGTTATCAAATGTAGAAGAAAGTAGATATATATAGGAATTTTTTGGTTTATTTGTTTATTCTTATTGGATAGTCACATTAAAGATAATTTTCATATTATAAACAAAATATTGTGAAAGTTTATGAGGTTGTGGATGATCCTCTGCGAAGTTTAGCAAGTCAAATAACCAAGTAGAGCACGGCACATCTTAAAGTCTATAGTGGTGCCCCATTTTGGAAGACACAATACTAAGTGATATATTCACATCACCGTTAAATTGGGTGTGAGATTGATGCATACCTTGTTGTGACTTTCGAAAGCAATTAGCTCAAGAAGTTGATGGTTAAATTCACTACTAGATTTTGATTCTTTAACATTTTCTTTCTTACATTTGTTAGAATGTTAAAAAAAATGTTAATATAGATAGAGTAATAATTTTTATTTTAATATTATTATTTTTAATTATTTTTAAAATTAAAGTCTCATATCGAATAAAAAATTGTTACGTAGGTCATATTGCAACATTTTTTTAATGACATTTTTTTAAAAAATGTTACTATAATTGCTTCTAAAATCAAAGTCTCACATTGAGTAAAAAAATTGTATATTTTTCTCATCTATGATTATTACTCATAATTAAAGTCTCACATCGAATAGATGAATGACTCATAAAGAGTATATATAATCATATAGTTATACTTAAGATAAATGAATTTTGATATTTATATATAATTAGTAGTAACTAACTAATAATGTCTTCCCCTAGATCATTAAAATGTTACAAAAATACTACTTTGGTAACATTTGAAAAATGTTGCTTAATTATATAAAAAATGTTATAAAAAGTCTTTAGCAACATGGACTATATACAACATTTGAAAATATATTACTAAAGTAAATTACTAATATTTATACACATTAAGCAACATTTTTTAAATGTTGCTAAAAACTATTTGTGTTGTAGTGAAAGGTTGCAGAATTTGCTTAAATATCTCGAAAAAGTGAAATGTGAACCTAATATTTAAGTACGATTCAAATATATTATAATCATAAATATTTAAATTATAGTGTGCACATCAATCAGATAATTTCTAGGAACATTATGACTCATAATAAATATCTAAATGAATTTATTTATTTTAAATGATTTTATTGTTTATCCATCTACTAATATTTATTTCCTTTATTTCAATTTGTAGATATTTAAAACTATTAATTGATGAAGAGTTGAAAGATCTACATTACACGAACAACTTATTTTTAGAATTTTATAAACATTGGTTTTGTTCTTACCGGAAATCTGCTGTAGAGCTGATCCGCCAGGTAAGATCGGTGAGCCTCCTTCACTGGTACGCTGGTGCTCCAAGATGGGGGTGTTACCTGCAAAAGAGACTCCGATGCTAAAGTTAGGGTTTGTATGAGTATGAGTCTCGTATAAGTAATGCACGTACTTTAGTGTGAATTAGGATTGCGTTGGGCCTTGGGCCTGAGTCGGTTATGATATGATTAGATAGCGGATCTTATCAGGAGCGAGATCCCTTGAGATCAGTTATGATCTGATTAGGTAGCGGATCTTATCTGGAGCGAGATCCCTTGAGATCAGTTATGATCTGATTAGGTAGCGGATCTCGCTTAGACCGAGATCTCCCAGCGCGTGCCCGAGGTCGTCATGTGCTGTGATACCGAGCTCGAGCTCGGCATGGCGGTACGGACAGTACACTAGCCCCCCGAGCTTCGAAGACCATGGGTCGAGGAGTTAAGACCGAGCTCGTCAAATGGCTGTGACCCTTCGCGTACGCCAGCCTGTCGAGGTGTCACGCGTCACAACTGCTGCCCCATTTTTGAAAACGCGCAGGCAGCGTGTTAATAGGAGTGACAGTTATGTAGACGTACCTCGATAGGATTATATTTTTACTGTCTACCGGCACATTGGCATTGTTAGGGTTTTACCTTGTGATTGCAGCGCGGTGACAAGATTATATTTTTATCTGTTTGATGACGTGGCCTCTTTGGGCCGATGTGGTATTCCGATGTCCATGTTTTATGACTGAGTTGAAGAAATCGGAAATAATGAGTTTACTTCTTGTTCAGGCTGGTAAACCTTTGACCGAGTCAATAGATTGGTGAGGGACAAGTCGGCAACTCGGCAACTCGGCTGGCTAGTACACATGCCCCCCAAGCACCGAGTGATGTAAGAGCGAAGGGGCTTCTGAGGAGCTCCCAAATTTATTGTTTGAAGGTTCAAATTTGACCTTGTTAAGTAGATGTGATCTTCAAGGGTCGAGCCCGACCTTGTTTAAGAAAATGTAGTCTCAAGGTTCAGACTCGACCTTGGCATAACAAGGTTCGAACTCGACCTTGGTTAAGAAAATATGATCTCAAGGTTCGGACTCGACCTTGGCATATCAAGGTTCGAACTCGACCTTGGTTAAGAAAATATGATCTTAAGGTTCGGACTCGACCTTGGCATATCAAGGTTCGAACTCGACCTTGGTTAAGAAAATATGGTCTCAAGGTTCGGACTCGACCTTGGCATAACAAGGTTCGATCTCGACCTTGGTTAAGAAAATGTGATCTCAAGGTTCGGACTCGACCCTGGCATATCAAGGTTCGAACTCGACCTTGGTTACGAAAATATGACCTCAAGGTTCAGACTCGACCTTGATCGAGACATGGATGAATTTTAACAAGGTTCGAGTTCGAACTTGGGCGATAATATTAAGGTTCGTATTCGACCTCAAAATAGATTTAGGTGAACTTTAACAAGGTTTGAGTTCGAACTTGGACGATAATATTAAGGTTCGTATTCGACCTCAAAATAGATTTAGGTGAACTTTAACAAGGTTTGAGTTCGACCTCGGATATTAATATTAAGGTTCGTATACGACCTAAATAGAGTTTGGTGGACTTTCATAAGGTTTAAATTCGACTTCAGAATAGGCGTATTAAGGTTCGTATTCGACCTTAGAATAGAGTTAGGTAAGCCTTCACGAGGTTCATTTTCGACCTCGGGTAAGAGTGTTTAAGGTTCGTACTCGACCTCAGAATTTTAACGAGGTTCGGACTCGACCTCGGGTAAGAATGTTTAAGGTTTGTACTCGACCTCAAAATTTTAACGAGGTTCGTTCTCGACCTCGGGTAAGAATGTTCGACCTCAGAATTTTAACGAGGTTCGGACTCGACCTCGCGTAAGAATGTTTAAGGTTCGTACTCGACCTCAGAATTTTAACAAGGTTCGTTCTCGACCTCGGGTAAGAGTGTTTAAGGTTCGTACTCGACCTCAGAATTTTAACGAGGTTCGTTCTCGACCTCGGGTAAGAATGTTTAACGAGGTTCGTTCTCAACCTCGGGTAAGTCGTCACAGTTAATGTGCTAATACCGAAAATGTTTGGGAATGGAGTTGCTTTGTTGATTATTTTTGAGGTGTGCCTCGTTAAAACCTTCTTTGGCCAAGAACCCTTTCCTTTAGTGGGAAAAAAGGCTGAGGAGGAAAAAGAGTACATCACCTGAATTTACAAGTTAAGAGAAATAAAAATTGAGGTGGGTGACATTCCAAGTTTCGAATTTCCCTTCGGAGGGGTCTATTCTTGTCTCCCTCACCCCACCAAACAAGGTCGCCAACTTTAAATGTTTGTGGCCTGACCTTGGTCTTGCTTTCCTTATGGTTTGTCGCGAACCTGGTTACGAAAAGCAGAGTGCTCTTCCATCTGAATGTACCCTGCAGCTCGGGCAAGAAGTTCGTCCATATCAAGAGGAGATCGTCGACACAGGCTGTCCACGAAAGGTCCAAGCTTGAGCGCCATGAGCATGGCGTGTAGGGCGACTTCGGGGTTCAATTTTCGAATCTTGACCGAGATACTGACAAAAGAAGTTCGTCCATATCAAGAGGAGATCGTCGACACAGGCTGTCCACGAAAGGTCCAAGCTTGAGCGCCATGAGCATGGCGTGTAGGGCGACTTCGGGGTTCAAGTTTCAAATCTTGACCGAGATACTACTATAGCGTTCCATGAACGCCCTCAGTGATTCGTTTTCGTCCTGTCTGAGACTGGCCAAGGCGGCTGATGTGACATGGTGAGGTCGACTCGTGGCATACTGCGCCGTGAATCGCCTTACCAGAGTGTCGAAACTGTCAATTGACTCAGCAGGTAGCTGGGTATACTAGTTGAGTGCAGCCCCCTTGAGCGAGGTTGGAAAAACCCTGCACAGTATAGCATCCTCATTAGTATAGAGGTTTACCTGGGTGGTGTATAGATCGATATGCTCGTCCGGGTCGGTTGTGTCGTCATAGCAGTCGAGGTGGAGAGGCTTCCACCCAAAGGGGAGAGGTGTCTCCATGATACCGTCCACGAAAGGATGGTTGCGGAAGGTCGTCTGATTCACCGTGCCGTGGGCCGGGGCGTTGCTGACGTCGTGCGCCGACCTGTTCGTCAGCGCATGAGACCAATGTGTGGGAGGCTTGGGAGTCAATGCCCTAGCCGCTGTTGGCGGTTGTGAAACCGAGTGCCCTTCGTCCTCATTCAGGTTACTCTGCAGAGGGGGTTGGTCTGAGGGATGCCGAGGGAGTTGGGCGCGAATGCGCTCGTTCTCGGCGCATAGTGCCGCTAGGTCGGCTTCATTAGCGGTACGCATTGCCGCTAGATCAGTTTCGTGCTTGGCACGCATGCTTTGTAGGTCGGCGGCATGTTGTTGCCGCATCTGTTCGACCTGGTCGATCAGCCTCCTCAATGTTGTTGCATCGCTATTCATGGTAGTTGAGCGATCTAGGTCGTCTATTGCGCGTCTGCTATGGCTTCTAGTGAAAACCATAAGAATGGCCGATAAGAGCTGGTCTTGATCGGCCCCACGGTGGGCGCCAAATATTCTTACCGGAAATCTGCTGTAGAGCTGATCCGCCAGGTAAGATCGGTGAGCCTCCTTCACTGGTACGCTGGTGCTCCAAGATGGGGGTGGTACCTGCAAAAGAGACTCTGATGTTAAAGTTAGGGATTGTATGAGTATGAGTCTCGT